ATAACTCCTTTATCTTTTGATTTTAAGATAACTTAAGCTTTCTTTAAGCTTAGTTATCATCTAATGATCAAAACCCATGCTTAAAATCAACAAACAATCAAAAAATCAGAGAAATCACCTTTGCTTTGAGTGTCTCACGTTGGAGAAGAAGAAGAATGAAGAATGAAGAGTTAAGAGATTTCTGGAGAAATCTCTCAACCTTATCCCCATATATATCATTATTTTATTCATTTCTAAGTCAAATGACCATTTTGCCCTTTAATTCCTTTAATAATTACTAACAACTTTTAGGATTTATTTCCAAATAAATCATTGAACTATTCAACTATTCTACTTTAATCACCATATTCTGAAATTTTATAATTTAGTCACTAACCCGTAGTTTGGGATGTTACATGCTATGTGACACCGGGGTTCCCTCAACAACTAGTGTCTGAGAGCTTTGTGAGACCATGTACTAGTCATATTTGCATTCAAATAATACACAATATGTCATGTTTGCATTCAGATAATGCACAAGAGTATCAGTGTCGCATTTAAATAATATGTAGCATGTTTAGTCATTAAGGTTAGAGATCCTTGAGAGGCGTACTCATGGCGAGACTCTTAGCAGAGGAATAAGAGACGCGTGAGACCCTACTTCATTGATAGAGTATGAAAGCCTTAAGTAGGTATTACTTGATTTAGGTCATGCATGCACCTACTGCTTAGTATCATGTCTTCATCATGCTTATGTTTATGAAATTCTTATGCTGGTCTAGATTATCGATTATACTATTGGGCTTTGTAAGCTTAGCCTTCAGATGTTTTCCGTTGGCAGGTTAGTAGCTTGGGCAGTTCGTGGAGCACCGTCGCAGCAGGACTTCCAACATCTTTGACAGAGTATTGTACTGTAGTTTTAGTGGGTATATGTATTCATAGGACCTTACTCATGTATTTAGTTTATTAAACTCAGTGTCTATATTATTTTGGTTTAAAATATTTGTCAAGGAGCCAGTTTTGTAAAATGATTTTACAACAGTTATTTATGTTTGTTTATGATACCATTCAGTTTGTTTGAAAAGGAAATAATCAGGTTTTGAAAATCAAGGGTCGCCTCGGTGGCCCATTGTGGCATTTTATGCTCAATTGGGTTTAGGGTGTTACATCAACAACTTCAATTCTTACGCAATATCCTTTGAAGTATCATTGGAACAATAAAAAATTATTTTTTCTGCAATTGAAAACTTATTGTAGCAAATGCATCTTGCATGTCTCCAAAATCGCTAACAAAATCTCAAAATAATAAACTCCTTCAAAACTCCACAATTCGAATCATAGCTTTGATACCACTTTTAGAAATTTAAGAGCAAAAAATAATCAAAGCGATATCAACATAAAAATAAGACATACACAAGAGACAAGATTTTATGTGATTCTGCCTTGTCTACCTCCACGGGAGAGATGAACAATAATCCACTATAAACGTAGAGAACATGAAGAGTACAAATACATGATATCACATGTATCCCAAAATCTGACATAAATACCATAATCTGATATATCCTAAACTATTCTCCTAATATTCCTACAAAATTATCCCTGTAACATAAATCGTTGGTCAAAGGGTCTTATTGAGTTCTTTTCCTAGGTTTGAGGGTCAAATAAATTTATGGACCACATTAGTTTTTTTTTAAGTATAGGATCCTCACATATTTTTTTTATTTTTCTTTTTCATTCTTTTGAATTACAATTTTATGCAATCAAATCATTGGTTTTCTAAATTTGGAGTTTCCATCTTACTATTTTTTGAAGTTATAATTATTATTTTTTATATGATGGCAGGTGTCCTTCGGAGCTGGGATGTGTGCAGTCACTATTGCTGCTGCACACTGTGGTGACGACGGAAAGGATGACGTCATGCCTGAGCACAACAGCTAGGAGTTACCGGGCGCTTTCCCAGGGTACACTGCCGCACCTACCCCGGCCCCTAGCACTATATTTTTGTATCTTTTTTTCTTTTGTGAGTAGCTGTTTTTTCCCTTCTTTTGCTTCTCCGACTCTTAATATGATAGTGTGTGTGTGTATATATATGTTGTTGTTCCATCATTCTTAGATTGGGTTTTGGATATGTTGTGTAAATGTTTTAAGTTTGTTTTCCCCCATACAACACTAACATGACAGTTCTGAATGTTTTTTATTATTTCTGTGGTATAATTACAGTGTAAAGCTTTAAGGCTAAGATTGGGATCATAGATTAAATGAGCAAAGAGCCAACTAACCCAACTCAAAAACAATGATCAGATTAATGCCATTTAAAAAAAAATCATATATTCTACAGGTAAGAAGCGATTAGCTAAGTCTGTGTTTGTATATCTCTTGCAAGCTGAGCATTTGTGGTAGAATATTGAGTGTTAGACCATGCAGATATGGGGAACCAAGGGATACATTTATTTTTCTGAAATGGAGTCATGTAAAAGATTCATAATTTGCATCTTCCATTGTTTACTGTTAATTGAATTAACCATTTAGATAGAGAGGCAAGTGTGTTTGATAAACCACCCAAGTCTAAACCTTGCATTGGATAGATGAGCCATGTAACCTTAAAAGCATGTATTTCAAAAATAGGGATATGCGTTAAGTAGGAGACTCCAAGACAGTAGGAAAATATCCTTATTATCTAAGCAGCAAGCCATGCATTACTGAATTCAAAAGTCTGGTTCCAAATTATTCTTCCATTGGTACTCGAGTATCTCAAGGGATTTCTATCTCTGATCCCGTATAATAGATAAATTTGATGTTTCCTTAAAATTTTGGTTGAGTTAAAGGTGTTAGTTCTAAATTTTAGAGAACATAGCTAAATGGGAAGTAAAATTCAAAACTTTTGTTGCTCAAAACTAGTAGTCAGTGAACACCATCAGATCATTGATATTGCTTCTCTGAGTGAAACAAAACACGGCAAATGAAATGTGACCAATAGTGCTTTAATAATGCATCTTAGCAATAACTGAGCATAATATTGGTTCTTGCAGGCACAGAAGCTCAATATGCACTTGAAAGAAATAAAGTGGGAATTTACAGTGACAGGCCCATCTTTATTCTAAGTATGATACCATGAGACATTAGTGCTTTTTTAGTGATCTTGAAATTTAATTGTTCAGGATATGGCCTTATTTTCACATGTCTCTTCCTATTATTTGAACCAGTTCCCCTCTTTATCCTCTTCTTAATTTTGGAAAGAAAAGCCTCCATTAAGCGTCACACACAAGCTCCCTGTGTAGTTGTGGGATTGGTTGAAACACTACATCATATTCCTTTCATTTGTGTATGGTGTGCACTTTTGCCTTCGTATCTTCCTAGGAATTAGTCTTTCTTTCCTTATATAGGATAATGTAAAAGGAAAAAGAAATCATTATTGACATGTTAAAATCAGCCTACCTCACCCTTCCACTCAGCTCTGTGCTTACAGATACTCTATTTGTTTGGCATGCTCTTCTTTCTACTGCCTGGTTAGACATGGATGCATTCTAAAAATTTGTGCAATAGAGGTCAGGATTTGGTCAGTTGCCTGTGTGGAATCAAATACTGTGACTTTGATTTATTTTACCTGAAGAGTGGTTCATTTATAAGTGATCTGGAACACAATGGTAACAAAATTGCACCTTTCCCCAGATATAATTGATGGTACGTGAGACACGTGGCTGTTTCTGGAATGCGAAGCCTGTCATCTGATTTTTCATTCGACTGTTTTTTTTTTTAGAAAATATTTTTTTTTTCATTCGACTGTGACATTGAACCCTGTGGGCTTTTTTCTATAGAAATTCAAAAACAGGTATAATATAGTTATAGATCATTCAATTAATTTGATATTTAGTTGAGCGGGCTGCTGCACTGGATTGTTGGTCTGACAATGTATCAACGAGCTAGTCTTCATCTCTAAGTCGGGGTCGAAGTCAAAAACATTATACCGCCTGGGGTAAAAAAGGGGTAAATTATATGTTTCTATGGTTAAGTTTAATCATTGATTAAACAAAAATAAAGTTACAATATTATAATAATAGTTTTAATTTTTAAAATTTATGTATTGTATTTCCTATAGCATTGATTATAATTTAAAATAATATATTAATTTTTTAATATTTAAAAATCTTATCATTTTGTTTCTCATTTTAATTTGAAATAATTTAATGGAGCAATTTTTAAATATTGAAGACTTTTTAAATTATTTTGAATTAAGACTAATTTGATAGAGTGTATAAATTAGGGGATTAAGATTGTTTTTTTTTTAATTAAGATTAGGATTATTATTATATTATGTCGTATCACTATTTTTATTAAGTCAATTGTCAAACAAAACGACGTGATACCAAAAATAGAAATAAAAAGTAATGTTAGGTACGATTCTAAATAAGTAATTAAGTAACGAAAATAAAAAATAAATGAGACACTAAATAGATAATTTACTTAAAAATAAGTTTGTTTTTAGTCTTCATCACTTTCATATACACGTAAAAGAAACTCAGAATTTGAAGGAAGTGAGAGACTATTGGACAAACATTGAGTAAAAGAGATTGGAATTGTACCCATTAACAGTGCTCTAAAAATAGTTTAACAAATCTGAAGAGAGAGAAATGGCAAAACATAAAGAATCTAGGGAGCCAAAATTCTGTACAAAACCATAAAAAGAGAATCAGAGGAGAGCCATTGAGAAACACAATGGAGACCCTTGTATTACCATTCTCCTGCGAATAATCTGGTGAAAGCCTCCCAAAGTTAGTTAAGTCCCAAAAGAGAAAGAGGGAGACACATAACCAAGAAAAACGAAATAAAACGAAATTTCTCTCATTTGTTCACGAAAGGGTTTGACGTTAGAATCAGAAACAAACATTTTAAAAAGCAAAAAGAAAAAAAAAATGAGAGAAACAGAGAGAAGAAAGGTGCTGGGTGTATGTAATTTTTCTTGTGTTTCTTCTTCATTTCGTTCCCTGTTTGGACGGAAAGAAAGTAAGGAGGAAAGTAAGATGGTGGCGTGCATAAAAAGAGCATTGCTTGAAGATGTGGCGATAATAGGAGGATTGGTAGGGGTGCAATTTGTTTATGCGGGCAACTCAGTTTTACTTGCTTATCTTATGTCCCTTGGCATTAGCCCTTTCCCCCTTATTGTTTACTTCACCCTTGCCACCTTCATTATTCTCTCCCCTTTTTCTTTTCACTTTGAAAGGTATTTCATTTTCAGTTTCTTTCTTTCTTTCTTTATGGAGTTGTTTAGCCATGGAAAACATTTTGAAGGTGTCATTCACATCCATACATTTTGCAGGAGCCAATGGCCCAACCGTTTCACCTTGAAGTTAATTACTCAGCTTGTTTTAATCTCCTTTGGAGGGTAGGGTTGATTTTCATTTTACATCCTTCCTAAATATTTGGATTACATAAGATGGAAACAAAACATCAAAACCACCTTTTTTTTGTTCCTAGTTTCAGTTTTGATTTTTTTTGTTGCAAAATATTAGAAAAATTCATCTAGAATTAGAATTATTCTAGGTATAATGACAAAAAACAACCTTAACATTTAATTAAAAAGTCACTTTCACCTTTCTTTTTAAGTATCTTGGAAAAAATGCATCCGTGCGTGAAAATCGTTAGTAAATAAACGACTCAAAATAGGGACCTTTTTACCTTAAAATAAAATATCGGGGACAAAACAATCTAAAAAAGAATAGGGACTAAATTGACTATTTAGTCAAATGTGAGGGATCCTTTTACCTTAAAATGAATCGTCAGGACCAAGATACTCCAAATAAAAAAATAGAATACCAAAATAACCATTTAGATAAACATAAGAGACAATCGTTATACCATTAGTCTGTTGGATAACCTTTGGCCTTCAATCCTCTTTTCTTAAAACACCTCAAGGAAATTATGTTAACAATCCATTTTTCAATCATGTTACTGATAATCTTTGTTTCAGGACAACTTTATTCCAAAACCTATTCCTCAAAGGGATTGATCTAACTTCACCTGCAGTAGCAACAGCCATGCCAAACCTTGCTCCTGGGCTTATCTTTATAATTTCTTGGGCTTTCAGGTACTAAATTCAATTCTTTTTTTGGTGATCAAGTTAGTAATAAAAACCCAATGATGAATTTTGGAAATGCTGATATAGGTTAGAAAAAGTTGCTCTAAGTTGCCTATACAGCAAAGTGAAAATTGCAGGCACATTCTTGTGTGTCTTGGGGGCCATTATAACGAGTGTAATACAGAGCACCGTCTCGTCGGAAGATGCAACGATAGATATCGCGGACGTTTATTATGACATTTTCGACAAAAATAAGATCACCGGTTGCATGTACCTCATGGCAGCTGTCCTGGTTTTATCAAGCAATGTAGTATTGCAGGCGACGACTTTGGGTGATTTTCCTGCTCCGATGTCGTTGTGTGCGATAACATCATTGATTGGAGTGATTATAACTTCACTGGTGCAGTTGTTCAAAGATCATGATCTCGAATGGGGTTGGCCCCTTGTTAGTGGTTGGGAACTACTTGGCTTTTCTTTACTGGTATGAAAGCCTGATCCTGATCTCGGAATTTCCCATTATACTTATACATAAAGTTGTAGCAGACAGAAACAGAACACGCTTCAGAATTTGAGAAAACGAAACTTAAATGCATATGAAAAGATTCTGAACTGTAATGCACTTTTTTCTTCACCATTCTATTCGTTCATATTTGGATGCGCAGGGCGGAGCGTTGAGTGGAATGTGTGTAAGCTTCAACGGATGGGCAATGAAGAAGAGGGGACCAGTGCTGGTGTCAATGTTTTGCCCCATTGGAACAGTCATTACAGTAGTCCTCTCTTTTTTCACTTTAGGGCAGTCCATTTCATTAGGAAGGTAAACATGCATACAAGTTTACCAATTTGATTCGAAGTTTCCAACATTCTATGAATCCCTCTTTTCATGCAGCCTCGCTGGGATGTTCCTCATGTTCACCGGCCTCTACTTCGTCTTATGGGCTAAAGGAAAAGAAGTTTACGCGGTCGGGGATGGCTTGCGAACCGAGTTCGACCCGGAGAAGCCTCTATTAAGTTAATTCGCTATCTACTTCTTTAAAGATAGACAAAAATGAACTTCGTGGGAAAACTTGTCCAGAACCTCTCAATATGAATGTAAATGTTAACGTATTTCTACAGTTTATGTTCTTTTTTGTAGAAACTTGATGTAGCAGCAGAGTCCTGTATGGTATTCTGAGTTTCAGACAGTATATTGGAGATGATAATAGGCTAGGAAAAGAGAAGTGAGAGAAGAGTAATGGCATTGTATAAAGCACTTATGATTGAATTAAAAGACCCCATATTTTATGGTTCGTTTCCGTGCAGTGTTCAACAGTTTCACAAACATGTTGATACCGGTAATGATAACGTGCTTATGACAAGGTAATGAATGACAAGTGACCAAGACAGCTAAAAAAACAACCTATTCGACTTATAAGATTCTTTGCTCATTTGTCTGCCCTTAATGCATTGCTTTGCTCCATTATTTGCGGTTTAAGACTTGTCACGGTTTTATTTGCCTCTTTCGATGGTTATTTTATTGAAAAAAAAGGAAGAAGAAGATAAAACTCTAATGTGATGTTTTCTATTGCATGTGTTTGTTTAAAATGTGATATCGTGTCTGACAACCCCACGCCAAGGGCTCGTCGTTGTTTGACGACTAAGCTAAACTTGCATGATAACTGATTTTTACGGATTATGGAAAAAAATTGAGATAATGTCAAATTTAGTCTGTAGCGTGTATTAAAACTGTCATTTTAGTCTTTATTAACTTTGGTTTATATATTTTTTTTTAGCATTTTGATCTTCAACGTTTTATTTTAGGGTAATAAATTCCATATATGGAGCGTTAATTATTTATTAACATTGAGAATCACAATGCTTCAGAAAAATAAGAATCAAAAGGATTATTTAATCAAATATTAATAGAAATTTTTTACATTATTCTAAAAAAATTTCATAAGCAGTCTTAGAATAATGAGAAGTGTTATATTTATTTATTTTTCAAATAATTTAGAAACACTTTTAATATCATTTTTGGATTTATTTTCACTGGTGGTGTGAAATAATAATAATAATAATAATAATAATAATAATAATCTATTAAGAACATTTTTATTTTTATTTTTTTAGGAGGTGTTTAGTTCGTAAATGTAACATTAACTTTATGAATATAATTATAGGAATGTAAGATTACATGAAACATATTATACTATTGTAATTTTAATTTGATTTATTTAATTAAATGTAAGATTATGATCTTTGATTGATTGAATATAAAATTATATAATAATAAATTGTATTTAATTATCGCTGTAATAGATTTCTTTTAAATGAGATTAACCTTCAATATTAAATTAAAAGATATTAATATAAGCTTTTATAATTAATATACTCTATCTAAATTTTTTATTTACCGCATCATTAATATAATTAATATAGCTGTTCATGTACCAGGTTAGAGGTGAACAAAACTCGACTCGACTTGAAAAATCGTTTTTTTTAACTCGTCTCGACTCGAATTGACTTTGAGTTACAATTTCATAAACTCGACTCAACTCGAAAAAATTTGAAGTTCAAATCGAGTTGTATTTTACAACTCGAATAACTCCTAATTTTTAGTAATTAGTGATTTATTTTCAAATTTGAGTCGACTCCTTCGACTTTGTATGATATATGTATATCACATATGAAAAGAAATATGAATAAATATATTTGTATTGTATATATAGTTATAGAAAGTAACTTAAATTGGAATCAAATGATATTATAATATTATAAATATTTACAATTAAATTTAAACAGAAACTTGAAAAATCGACTCGACTTGAAAATGTTTTAAGTCAACTCCGAGTTGTAAAATATGACTCTTTAACTCGAATAATTAGAAATTTTTTTAACTGGACTTGACTCGACTCGACTCGATCGAACACTCACCTGTAACCAGGGTAGGCCTCATTTTAAAAAACTTAAAGATAGAATTATATCTATCTCTCCTAAAATTATTCATTTTTAATTTAAAATAATATAAATATAAGTTTATATTAAGTGGAAATTCTTATTGATAAAACTAATTTTTTTCATTGGTGTGTCCGCTTATCTCTTTTTTTTTTGTCTAAGTTGATCAACGACACCAACTTTAATGTTAGTTGCTGACCACCAGTATTTTTTATTATTTTTTTCTTCTCTTATATTATATCTCTATTTTATTTTGTTTTTTGATTTTCAACAAATCTTCTTGTATGACACATTTTTATTTGTCTTTATGGCTCATTTTCTTCTGTCTTTTGGTATGTTTTTCGGTTGTTTGGCATTTTTTTCATTTATCTTTTTGTAACGGTTGATTTGTCATCGCCATGACGGATCAAGATATCGTTTATTTAATATCTTGTTGATCTTACCTACTTTGGACCATTGGATACCCGATTTGTGTTCGTGAATAACTTTTTATGTCGTTCGAGTGTGATTTATGGTTTGTCGGCTATCTTTCAGTAGTTTGATACCCCTTTGTGGTTAGTTTGTCGATGCAATCATATCTGTTTGTATTTATCTTTATTCGAGTTTTTTTGTTAGATTTTTAATCTTTGCTATACGTTTGATCTAAAGTTATTGGTTTGTTTCAATGATTATATGAAATTTTCCTAATTAAGTGTTTAATTATCATTGTGACTGTAAATCTTTATTATAGTTTGAGATATTTTTTATTTTAAATAAAAAATTATATTAATATTTTTAAATTTGTTTAAATTATACTCGAACCAATCTAGACAGACCGTTTAATCTATGTATAAATCTAATTTAAAAAATTAAATTGAAAAAATTTAACTTGAACTGTAAAATTGTCCAAAATGTAACATTCTTTATGGATGCTTAGGAAATAAAGTCAATTAATTTCAATATTTCAAATAGGCTATTTTGTAAGTTTAGAATCTCAATCAACGTGCAACACATTTTGAGATGGAATTTATATCAGAATATCCATGAATATGAACCATGAGATGATTATAATAATATATTTTAACCTCGTTTATTAATATAAGGCGTTAGAAATTTTTGAAAGCAGAAAAATAACCAAAATAATATAAATATAAAATAAGACATACAAAGGGACGAGATTTAGCGTGGTTCGAACGGACGAGATGAACAATAATCCACTATAACGTAGAGAATACGAAGGGTACAATATCTCATGTATCCCAAAACCCGATATAAATACAAAAACCTGATATATCCCAAAACACTCTTCCAACATTCTTACAAAATTATCTATGTAATTTAAACTCCAAAGGTTACAGAGATCCTAAAAATGATTATATCTCTCCAAAATAATTCTCTCTCACATATTCTAAAGGTTGAAGCATTATATCTATTCATAGTGTCAAATACTTGGTCACCTAAAATTCTTATAAAATTTCTTATTACATAAAAATTATTGTCTAAACTAAATATTTTATTTATTAAATAAATTTAATTACCATGTGACTTTAACTATTAGAATTATAATAAAATCTAACTTAATTACCAATTATATTTTGGGTTGAAATATAACAAATTATTGGCAAACAAATAAATATAATCGAAAAATTAAAACAAAGAACACTAAGATTTACGTGTAAAACCCAAAAGGGAAAAACCATGGACAAAGAAGAAGAATTTTATTGATATGAAGGAAGAAAATACAAGTGAATTTTAGAGAAAGAAAAATTTGATATCTAACCACTAAATCCTTAGTATCTATTTAAAAATATATATATATTTGATTACAAATGAAACTAAATAAAGTAAAAAAATTTTTTTTATAAAAAACTACTTTAATAAAGATATCTACTTTAACAAAATTCTTTACTTTTAATCAAACTAGTTTTAGTACCTTTCTAATTAAATTGTGCCACTGTAAATTCAAGTCAAACTTTAATAAATTTCCACATTGACACAAATTCTAAAAGTGCAAAGAATTCAAGACAAAATACCTAAATTCGATGAAGCAAATAAACTCAATGAAAAACAATTATTCACTTCAACGATCAATTCCTTCACCTCTTCTACAATACCCCGTCCAAAGGGTAATCTTCAGTAATGAACTTTGATTGAATCTAAGCTTTTTCTAAACTTGGATTTAGTCTTTATATCGACATGATTATCATAAATTCCAACTTTGCTAACAAAAGTATCACCATGAGCAATATCTTACACAACACGATCTCAAACATGAATAATAATTATATCTTCAAATTTGTTATTCCCACGAAATTGAATTTTTTTCTACTTTACATAACCATTATGGCCATTGTTATCTTGTTCAACAAAAATTCTTCTTTTGCTTAATTTAGTCAAAACATTTTTACCAGTAACAACGTTATTTGACAAGGAGGAGAAAACATCACCTGCATTATCTAAAATTTTGACCTCTGTAGAGCATAAAACTTGTCAATCTTTCTCCAACCTTTCATCACAACAAGAGAACCCTAGTAAATTTTCATAACTCCATTTTTATTTTAGAACTTGTACCCTTTTGAATCAAAGGTGCCTAACAGAATTAGATTTTTACTTAAATTTGGAACATGTACATTACCAAGTGTTTGAATAATCCTATCGAACATCTTAATATTGATTGTGCCAATACCTGCGACTTTACAATAGACATTATTTCTCAAAAATATATCACCTGTATATATAGTTTTATACGTCGCAAACTAATCAAGATTGATACCCATATGGAAATTGCTACTAGAGGCAAGTATCTACTCATCACTTGTTATAAAGTTGTCATCATCCTCCGCTATACCAACATCACCATATTTTCCAGAGTTTTTCTCTTTAGTTTCGCTTTTAATTTTATTCTATAATTTGTACCGCTATACTTTAACATGACTTTTTTTTACAAAAGTGACAAGTTTTTTTTTTCGTTTAGAAGATTTTGATTTGTCCCTCCTTTTACTACCATAAGTATGTTCGTCTTTTCTTCCATCTCTGAGCTAGTTGATCCATGTACCATGAGATACTCTACTTGGGGATCAGTACTAGATACAAGATATTTTATCTAATTAAATGAGT